TTCAAATAGGAACGGTTTGACAGCAAAACTGTGTAGCCCCAAACCGATCATCAGCGTGGATTGTTCACTCGAAATATGTTTGTGGAAGGAAACTGGCATGTAAAGTCTGCTCTGAGGCCAGAGTCGATTGAACTGAGCCACTCCTTTGTGTTGGCGGGTTGCCTCCAGCTTTCCCGATTTTTCGTTCCACACAGAGGTGGCTCCAAACCGGAAAGGTTTTGGAGTGCACGTCAAGTTCACTCTGAGTTCTGAAATTAGGTAATTGCTATCGCTCCACGACGGCCAGTACAGAGAAAGACGTAAAACTCAAGTCGCAGTGCGAAGCAACACGTCAAAAACTCACCTGCTTGGTATGGTGCTTCTGGTCATCACAGAGCAATGAAATCTTGACTCGGAGTAAAACACATCGCATTCTCACTGTGACATATGTTTTCTAATCAAAAATACCAAGAGAGAAAGTGAATATTGAGCCCATTCCGGTTTGCAACCTATTTCCTATTTGAAACCGTCTCCTCTCTACAACATAAACGACAAACAGAAAGCACTCGTTCTGAGAAGAGCATTTTTCGTATCGTATCTTTTGAATTTCCAGTCATTTTCTTCAGGCAATGAACACGCAAAAATCAGATCCCTTGTCCGCAGTGTGCAACTGCACTTGAACAAGCCTATGCGCAAGTCGGTTGCGTTTTACATGTACGTAGTGCAGTCAAGGGGCCTAAAGCAAAACATGTGAACTGGCAGGTGTGTATTATTTTATTATCAACAGTCGTATACTGGTACTGATACAAGCAAAAAAATAAGAATGTGCTAGGCTTTTTTTTTAAAGACCGCCTTTTCCGCGATTTTCCCGCGTTTTGAACTTTTTTGTTGCACTACACGTACACATAGTGCACTGCATTCGGCTTTTGTCAACTAAGCCGATCAGCAACGTCTCATCGTGGCGGCTTTGTACTCCAATATGACAAGTGCTTACACCAGAAACTGTAACTGATTGATTTCACTACATACTCTCTGAAATTGCCTCATATCAATAATATTCACCGCAAATTATGCCACATTTACCGCAAATTACACCGCAAATTCTGGGATTTTTTCCCCGCGATTTTCCCCGGGGACAGACCATTGGCCGACTCACCTCCCAAGTCAGTGTCGATGCCAATCGCTTGCCAGGTTGTCATCAGAGTAGAATTCCTCGTCACTGCAGATCGTGGTACTACCAGCATCAATTATTTTACGCTCGATGAAAGTTTCGCCCTCGAATGACTTGTCGCTGTAACCATCATCATCTTCCTTCTGTTTCGGACGCAAATCCTCAAAATATTTCATCCTGCGCATGGAGTGTGAGGATGTCGTCTTCTTCCGTTCCGCAGTACATTAAGCTCTTCCTTCGATACATCGATGACAATCAGTTTTAGGCGACTCAGCGCAATATGGAACACAAACTCAAACAAATAAACTTACTTGCAACAAAGAAATGCATCCGGAACAGTTCAGTCGACCGAGGAGAACAACAGCGACTCGCGTTGCACTGCACTTCGTATTTTTTTGCCGTGGAATTCAAATCGTGATTTTCTCGACTTTTCCAAAAAAGCTGTGGTCATGTTTTAGCGTGATCTGGCTCATATGTAACTAAGGACCATCGTGACTAGTGACCAGCCTGGTACTACAGACCACTTCACTAGGCACGGACAGTCTTACATTACCGTAAAAGTCCGTAAATAAGTACGTATTTACTTTCGAATTTAGTGACCACACCCGTACTAACTTTCGGGCGGGTATTGACTTTCGGGCACGAACTAACTTTTGGACCTGACTTGTGTGTAGTGGAGAAGTCATTTTTATGTAGATGTACATGCTACGTGCTGCATGTGCGCACCGTACCGGTACTTATTTCGGGCAGTATGTTTATCGGGCTTGACTTGACTTCAACAGAGCCAAAAGAATGAAGGGGGTATTTCTTTCGGGCAGGTGCTTATTTACGGACTTTTACGGTATGGTTGTGCGGTGCAAATCTCTAACTGAGGACCGCCTGCCACTAAAGACCGCTTTCTCTGGCCCCAATGTGTGGTCTTTAGTCACAGGTTTTACTGTACAGTGAAAACTGTTGTGGTCCCCGTGTACAGGTGGTCTCCTTAAAGAGAGTCCTTATCCAGGGTCATTTGACTGGAAATCACATCTCTTGGTCCTGATTGTTGGACGGGTGGTCGCCTTAGGAGAGTGGTCGCCATGGCAGGTTTTACTGTGCCTTCAAAATGTGGTCTCCACTACCAGGTGGTCTCCACTACCAGGTGGTCTCCACTACCAGGTGGTCTCCACTACCAGGTGGTCTCCACTACCAGGCGGTCTCCACTACCAGGCGGTCTCCACTACCAGGTGGTCTCCACTACCAGGTGGTCTCCACTACCAGGTGGTCTCCACTACCAGGTGGTCTCCACTACCAGGTGGTCTCCACTACCAGGTGGTCTCCACTACCAGGTGGTCTCCTTACCCAGGGTCATTGGACTGGAAATAGCATTCCTTGGTCCTTTTTGCACTGGTACTGTTGGACCGGTGGTTGGCCTGATCTGAATGGTTGCATTGGCAGCTAGGTTTCAGTTTACTGTACACTGATGTACATTCTGTGTCCACTTCACCACCACCACATTTGCGCTCTGCGGCCGACCACGTTCATTCCCCACAACAGCAACAAGAGGTTTGGAGTACTGAAACTATTTTAATTCCTTCTGACAGCTGTTACTTTCTTCGTACTGATTGACAGCAAGGTGAATGAGCACATCAACGCCATGCACACGGTATTGAACACACAACAGAACACGCAGCTCTACTACACACTGTCTGGGTGTGAATTTGGCCTGCAAGGCGTGTTGTTGTTCCTAGGGCACCATCAAGCTCAGTGACAATTCCATCTCTCCGGATCCCAAGAAGATCGCCGTCGTCCAAGAATGGTCGGCACCAACATCAATCAAAGAAGTAAGACCGTTTCTTGGGTAATTGTGTGAATCACTTTAGTGCACACTATATGTAGACGTTTCATTCAGCACGACTCAATACTTTCAAGACCATTAGAGGAGGTCGCAGGGAAACATGCTCTTTTCACACACAAAGCAACTGTTCAGCACATGGGGTAGTGGTCTACCAGAGCATCACACTCACGATATTACTCGGCAGAGGGGATTTGAGAACTTTTGAGGTGACCTATTGACCTATAGCGTTCGATTACACACTGTTCCGTCCGTTGTAGAAATAGTTACGATGCATGCACCGTTAATTGCACAAATTCCGCCGTCAGAATCGACGGAATCCAATTCTGTCGATTCTGAAGAGAGGGAGGGATTTCTAGTTGCTTCCGGCAGAATTTGTGCACTTGGTACACGCTAGCATGCTCGTGCAGAACCCATGCGCACTTGTCGGGGCCGGGTAATGCTATTGAGTGGAACCAGAATTTCTTCCGCCTTCTCGCTCCACATACACTGGCATACAACTAGACGCAGACAATGCCGGCAGGAGCACACAAAGTGAGGGGTTGTGTAGGACTTGCAGATACTGTAATTTCACAAATTTTCGGTGTACTTCTATTTTCGGTACTTTCGGTGCATGTGTTTCATACCTAAAATTTCAACACACCGAAGAAACACTAACGCACATAATCCAATAGGAAACTGCTTCTCTGCACTGAAAATTCCTGTTCACCTAACCTGGTCTTTTGCCCTCATACCGAAAATATTGAGTACCTAAAATTTCTGAAATAGTAGAGTAGTAGGCAGCAGCCAGATGCTGAGTTGGGCCGGGTACTGCCGGGTACTGCCGGTTACTGCCGGGTACTGCCGGGTACGGCCGGGTACTGCCGGGTACTGCCGGGTACTGCCGGGTACTGCCGGGTACTGCCGGGTACTGCCGGGTACTGCCGGGTACTGCCGGGTACTGCTGGGTACTGCCGGGTACTGCCGGCTACTGCTGGGTACTGCTAATGCCGGGTACTACTACTAATAGCTGCATGTACCTATAACCAGCCTGTTTCCCGCCTTCCGTTGGCCTAGCTTCATCCATTATACAGTAAAAGCTGTCGAGGTGACCACTTGACTTGGATAAGGACTTGACTTGGATATGGCCGACCATCTGTCCCAGATCACACCTGAAATGATTGGTCAACCGCCCTCAGCCAATCAGTGTTCAGCAAGTGTTTTCTTCTTGGCTTGCTGATGGCTGAACTCTTGTTGTTTCTGCACGAGGAAGGATAAAACAAGCCGGAAAATCCTACCGAATTCCAAGAATTTTAGAATTTTAGATTTTCTTCTCGATAGAATTTTCCGGTTTGTTCCCCCTAACGGAAACAACAAGAGTTAGGCCATCAGCAGGCCAAGAAAAAAACACTTGCTGAACTCTGGTTGGCCAGTCATCTCAGGTGTGAAGTTCAGCGCCAGGGTAAGCTATAAAAGTAATCATTCCGGGAGGGGATGGTGGTCGGGGTTTGGGATGGCCAGAATTTTAGATTTTCTTCTCAAGGCTTCTTTCTCCTCCCTCATGCAGAAGCAACAAGAGAAACAACAAGATCAGCCATCGCAGGCCAAGAAAAAACACTTATTGGCCGACGGCGGTTGGCCAGTCATTTCAGGTGTGAAGTGCAGTGCCAGTATAAGCTATAAAAGTAATCATTCCGGGAGGGGATGGTGGTCGGGGTTTGGGATGGCCAGAATTTTAGATTTTCTTCTCCAGGCTTGTTTCTCCTCCCTCATGCAGAAACAACAAGAGTTTTACCATCATCAGCAAGAATTTTAGATTTTCTTCTCCAGGCTTGTTTCTCCTCCCTCATGCAGAAACAACAAGAGTTTTACCATCATTATCAGCAAGTGTAGTGGGTGTGTGGGTGTGTGGGTGTCCACCATTACAAAAGTGTGTGTTTCTTCTCGGCTTGCTGATGATGGTTGAGCTCTTGTTGTTTCTGCATGAGGGAAGAGAAACCCACACACCCACATGTACTACACACACTCATGATGTCGAGGTAACAAGGCGGACCGCAAAACAATTATATCTCCATCAAGAAAGGCGGCATGCATTACAAAATAATATGACACATATACAAGACAGTTTGGCAATGCATTGCATCATTCACCTCCTCTCCCGAGTCCCGACCCTAGAGAACCAGCTCTCACTGGCAAGCTGTCGCCATGGAAACTCATACTTAGTCAGTATTCTGCACACATGTAATGGCGAGAAGATCATAATAATAATAATAATAGTAATGATCTAAAAACAGAAAAAAAGAAAAAAAGGAAGAAGGAAACTTTGTCGGGGACATGGTACAGGGCAGGGAGTAGTAAAATACCAGTATTTTACTACTCCCCTGGTACGGGGACTGCAACGACAATACATTCTTGAAAGCTGCAGCAGTCATCTCCGCGTTGTGCAGAGCTAACCCTAGGTCAACGGCGTCGCATAGATCCTATTCAAAAAACAAGCGGCTAATTCAAAAGCTCTTCGGGACGAGATGAACAACACCGCGGCCGTAGCGGCAAGTACCAGTGCTTATCATCTATGCTATTAAACGGAAGAAGAACATGAAAACAAACATCATCTCACAAAGTCTATGCTATGCTATCTCAATGCAGAGCACGGGTACCCGTGCTACTTGTGCATACCATCCATATATGTAGTATTCAGACAAACATGTAAGCTGGAAGGGAACGGACGCATGGAGGCAACACATGTAAGTATAATAAGCCCATAAAAGGCATACATACATTTCAATGCGGAAAGGGCGGTGGGTGACACGGCATTCAGTCAATGTTGTTGAAAACGCTGTA